GTTTAAGGGTATTGGAGATCCTGGGATATCTGTATCTTTACTACCAGAATGTCAGTGTTCAGTTCTTGTTAAAGGACACACCACAATGCCTGTGACTTAAGCATCAAGTGTTTTTGGAGGCCTGGGCTGTTCTGTTAGGTCTGTCCATGCTGATGACTGAAGTCAGAGTGACTTGCTTGGTTCTCAATTAGGAGGTATATTTTATGAAGTGAGGTTAATGTTTCTAAATATGTTCTTCGTTTAGAAAATATGTGAATAAAGCCAGTACATTAGGCTTCTTAATTAATCTGCTTAAAAGGAATTTGGAACAAAAAGTCTGTGGGAGTCTTCAGGAGGAGCTAAACTCAAGCAAAGAAATGAAATTACAGAAGTAGCTTGGCAAAGTGATAGAGTTTAACAGTCCGTTTATTGCTGCTTTTCTGCAAAGAGCAAATATTTTTTCTGGTCAAATAGTTGTTCAATGAGTTAAGTTTGAAAGAGAGGCAAGGGGGTTAATAATCATTGTGAAAGAGATTGAGTTGTTTCCTGTGGGGCAGTTAGCAAGCTATCTTCCCTAGAAGATCAGTGAGGTGTTTATAGTAAGAAGCTTCAGCCTAAGAAACCTTTAAGGGAAGGTGGAGAGACATAGGGACAATCCTATCCTTATAATAGTCCAGAATTAGCAAGCTGATAAAAGTGATAGTAATTATGAAATACTTACTTTTCTTTTGGATGTTGTCTTGGATGTAGCCATTTTTTTCCCCCTGTTTTACCTTCAAAGTAATAATTTCTTACCAGAAGTTTATATTTAATTTGAGGCAGTCTTGTATTTAGTATCTAAGTTCGTCTGCAAGGGGGAGGGAATAATGTCAAACTGACAGTACTTACTTTTTCTTAGTAGATCTAGGAGTATCTTGAGCATCCTAAGTCAGAATATTATCAAAATGTGTTCTCTTTGATTCTAATTATAAGACTAAATGTCTTTGGAAGTTGCTTTCCAACAATTAGCTAAATTTGTTGGAGTTGGTGTTTTTCATAAATGCATCAAATAAACATTTAGTTTATTTTAGTAACTTCTTTTGATATTATTCTGAAGAGTGGCTTCTTCCCAGTATCACAGTAATATATACTCTCCTTTTTTCCTTAATCTGAAACCAAAATGGGATGAATAAAGTTAGTTCTTTGCAGGGTAGGGGCATGCAGTGTATACAGCAGTGATTCAATCTTCCCCCTCTTCCAGATGCTTTTGACGTGTGCTAATGTTGGCAAACCTGTGATGGTACAGCTTTTCATAGCAAACAGGATTATTAATTTAATTCTGGCCATCCTTTGCCAGCTAACTTATTAGAGACACTTCAGCTTCCTAGGCCTGGTTTTAGATGTTTAATAATGTTTTAAATAAGACAAATGTAAAATATGAGAAAGGACCTCTCAAATCTAAATAAAGTACACTAGTTCTTCATTGTACTGTAAAATTGCCCATTAGTGTTGTCTGGCTTTAGTCTTGTATGTTTGGAGTTAGACTTTGAAGAGGCTTATGTTATGGTAATTAAAAAGCAAGTTCAGTGCCCAAGAGTGTTTTAACATTGCTTTGACCAAGAGTGTTTTCACATTGCTTTGCATTCTTGCTCTTGCCCTTCCTCTGCTGTAACCTTCTTTGCTCCCTTTTTCTGTTTTTAGCTGCTCTGCCCTACATTGGCTCTTGCCTGCATCTCTTCCACCAAATGACTGTTCCAGTTGCTTCATCTATCCCTGTCTGTCCTTTACCACTTCCCATACTGTTGAGTAAGTCTAATGCTTTTTCTTTCTTTGAAGTAGGGAAGAATTAGCACTGAAGTCTTGCATTTCAATTCTGGGATGTGTTACCAGGCTAGAGCAGCAGACCTGTCAGCTGCAGGGAGGATTCCACCTGTCTTTCTAGCCTGGGTTGAAGCATGCTGAGATTTGAATAACTGTGCTTGAGATCAGTTTTATCTTCAGTGAGTATGTGTGAACAGGTGTTTACATGCTCTGAAGCTGGTCACATCTAAGTAATACCTAAGGCAGACATAAAGCAAAAGGCATGCTTTGGAGACTGTAGCTGCTAATATCCTATTAATATAACTTCTAATTTGAGAAATTTCTTTTACTTTTCAGAAGGATTTTTTGATCCCAAAGCTAGAGGCTGTTATATTATATATGAGGTGCTGACAGATTAGTATCTACTTCCTGTTTTGTTTTATTCTTGGATGTCTTCCCAATATTTCTGAAGGAATTGGCTGACCTGTCCTGGAAGTGCCTGAACAGCAGTGCTTAAACCACTGTGGTTTCCAGCCAATGTGTTAATGTAGGCCAAAATTGTCTGTGTAGCTGAAGATGGACTGTAAACTGTATCAGTTCTAATAAATTGCTTTTCCGTTGTTTCTTTTCTAGACTGTGATCAACCTGCACTAGAAGGAGGTGAGCCTATCTCTGGGGCTCTTGTATTAGCAGTCTGATTCTAGTCTTTTGCATGTGGATCAATTTTTAGGTTTTGTTTTTATATATATTTGTAGATATTTTAGGATATGATATACAGTGATGCAATTATGTAACTCCTAATAAAACTAAGTCTCTTACCTTGCAAATGCTGCCTGTATTTCTTAGCAAGTAGTTAATAGAAATAGCAGAATCTTCCCTTGCCTTTAATGCTTCATAGCACTGGCACCCAAAGCTTTCACACTATATTGTTTTTAGTGGAGTGGGAAGAGGATGTAATGTGTGAGTTTCCACTTCCATGGAAGCTGTGTTGATGGTTTGCCACTTCCCATGTGCTGGGTCTTGTTCAGTGTGCCCATACTGAAGATAATTTATGAGTTACTTTGCAGAGGGGGTCATGGTGGCAACCAAGCATGAGGTGCAGAGTATTCCCTGCCCCTGCCAGGCCTTCAGGGGGTGGTGGTGGTGTTTGGATTAATTGTCTTTTAACCACTCTTGGAACCATTTGGTTATCTTTACCTGATGACAAAGCTTATAGATGTAGCCACATAATTACTTAAAGTACTGAGAGAAGGAGCTTCTGTGTTTAAGAACTTTGGTATTGAAATATTTCTGACAAGGACTTCTGAAAGATCTAGTTTTTCAGATTTGCTTCTAGGTAATTCAAGTGAACAGTGTCTTAGTGTCTGCAATTAGATAATTTGTGAATCTGTATGTATACTCTGTCCCATTGTCCAAGTCATCAGTGAAGATAGTAAACAATGTTGTTCCCAGTATTAATCTCTGGGGTACACCACTGTGACTGGCCTCCTGCTGGACTTTATGCCATTCATCGCAACCTCTTGAACCCAGCAGTGCAGACAGTTTTCAGTCCACCTCACTGTCCTCTTATTTAGTTGATACTTCATCAGCTTGTCTATGAGGTATAGATATATCTAGATATCTATGAGGTATATCTTAAAAGCCTTGCTAGAGATGAACAGCATCCACTCTTTCCCATCAAGGTTACAGGGTTGGTCAGGCATGACTTCTTCATAAACCCATGTTGACTATTCCCAGTCACCTTGCCCTTCATATGTTTGGGAGTGGTTTCCAAGTTTACTTGCTTCAATAGCTTCCCTTCACTCAGAGTGAGGCCACACATGGAATACTGTGTCTAGTTCTGGGCTCCCCATTACAAGAGATGGAGCTACTGGAGAGAGTCCAGTGGAGGGCCACTGAGATGATTAAGGGACTTTCTTCATATGAAGAAAGGCTGAGAGAGCTGAAACTGTTCAGCCTAGAGAAAATAGGGCTCAATAGAATCTCATCAGTGGATATAAATACCTGAAGGGAGGATGCAAAGAAGGCAGAGCCAGGTTCTTAGTGGTGTCCAGTGACAGGACAA